CCAAAAAAAAAAAAGATTTTTTTTTGTATTCCCAAACCAACCCCCTTAAAAAAAACCCAACAAATGACAACTAGAAATCTAGTACTAGTGCTGTACCGTCTACTGTTAGTAACACCTATTCGACCTTGACCTGAATGGACTACACGTTTCTGGATGACTTGGCAGTGTGGCCATGGGGTGTGAGATGGTCGTTTTTTACGGATAAACGGGCTATCCCAGATTTCGGGTGTTTTCAGAAATCTTGGCAACACCAAAAGTGGGCATTGCTCTACCTTTTGGAGAAGTTTGGTTTCATTGGTGTGTATATTTGTTTGGTTATAGAGAAAACTGTCCTTGTCTTTAAAAGAAACTGAACAAGGGGCAAAAACTTTCTTCGATTTTCTCCAAACAGCATTTTTCGGGATAGCCCCCTTGTGCTTAAAAGCGACCAGATGAGGTTACTTCTGTGTGTGTAACGTGTGGCGTGTGGTGTGAGGTGTGAGGTGTGAGGCGCGTGTGGCGAGACGGGACATTGTTGGAAACCCCGGACAAAGTCGAAGTGTGTATTGTGTGTGGCGGGATGGACAGCTTTTGACGTCCCGGAAAAAACCGGAGTGTGCAGTGTGTTCATGTTTTGTTGTGCTTGACACACTGATCGATATTCAGGACTGACCAGCAGACTCTTGTTTTTTTTCACGCGTGAAAAGGAAACTGGGGTTGTGGGGTTATTCACATATTTTTTCCATACGTGACCAGGCGAGTGGGGTTTCTCTCGTGACCAGGAAACTGTTTTTTCCCACTTGACAAGGAAACTGGGGTTGTGGGACCCATACGTGACCAGGAGAGTGGGGAATTACTCACGTGACCAGGAGACTGGGGAATTACTCGCGTGACCAGGAAAGTGGGGATTTATTCGTTTCTTCCAGAGGAGATCATGGATGAACTTGAGGAAAGATGCCTCGTGGACAACGGTATGGCTCGTTCTTCTTTCTCTCTATCTTTCATCACTCCCTCCGACCCTCTCTTTTTCTCTGTCTCCCTCCT